CAGGAAGCATGGACAGGATGGCAAGAGCGACTTCTATTGTTGCTCCCTACCAATTCGTGCTTAAATGGTAGTGCCAATTATTCAGAGATAACAAACAGGCACCACGGCTAGTTACAATCCACCAAGTCAACCCTGACTCCTTGTGACTACAGGGAGTTCTCTTGGCCACATTTCAGAAGTGTTTCCTTCTTCCTAGGGTCAAGAGAGAGACACTGGCCCAAAGTCACCCAGCCAGCTTCTGTGCCTAAGGCAAGAATAGCCTCCCATCTTCTAATCCAGGGCCTTAACTGCTAGACCAAACTGGCTTTCTACTAGTTCTAGTAGCCACTAATAACTTGATACTCCATTGTTTTTCCAGTCTCTTGATTTAGCAGACTACTTGGGGATAGGGGGTGTTCATTCAATCCAAATTATGTCGTTTGGATCCATTTATGCCACTTACATAATTACTTAAATGATGTAAATGGCATCACTGTAGTAACTCCTTGATTTAACAGACCAACCCTTGATATAATAGACAAACCCTCTATTTAACCAATATTTGTCCATTAAATGAGGGTGCAGTTTGAAAGAAAGTGTCATCCATTGTATCTGAAAGAGCTAAACCGAGGTCTATTCAATGGAGGGTTTACTGTATTTATGGTTGGTTGGTTGGATGGTTTCAACGTGCCCATATTTTGCTTCAATGGATAATCTTGAATTTTAATATTCTGAGAATTCTAGAAAATTGTCCAAATTTTCTGTACAGTGCCTGATTTTACATGCCACTCATGATCTGACTTGAGTCCCAGATAGCGTAGCCTCTCTTTGTGAATAAGTTTCTCTTCCCTAATAGTTTTGGTTGCCTCTAAACTATTTTAAATCTTTTCCCCTTCCACAATATTCTATGATGATGATAATGATGATGCTAAATTTATACAGCAGCATTAAAGGATCAGCACAACTTCCAACTGCACTGCAGTTTTAATAAGGGAAAAGGGGAAAAAGAAGAAGGAAAAAAAAAAAGGATCCAGAAATTAGGTAATGAAAAAGAACAACTTCAAAAACTTTGGCCATATCATCATCAGAAATTATCGCAGGCTTTTTTACCGATCAAAGTTAAACTTCTCAAAGAATGAGAAATCATCTATACAAACACAGTTCCTATGTGCAGAGGAAAGGAAAAAATGTTCCCCATGTGGATCACTAGAATGTTGAATAGCCACTAAATTAAATTCAAACATGTCATTCATACGGAATATTATGAATCCGAGAATACAATATGGGTAATGAGGTATTATTTAAAAACAGATCTGAAGTTGGATTCAAATTACCTCCAATTATTCTATGGTTCTCCGATTTAGTATACAAGTATTGAAAACCATGATGTACTTGTCCTGGAGAGTCTCTAGGTGAACCAGATAAATCTAGAAGTGCTAAACTCTGATTACCCAATCTGATATTTCTTCTTCAACCATCAGGTTAGAAAATCTACTAAATAAAATAGCAACCCTTCTCTCGTGTTTAGAATTCACCTTTTCTGCCCAAGCTTTCCGTAAAAGCCGTTTGTAGGAAAAATATGGGTGTCCTGAAAAAAGCAATTTCAGTTCTCTTCTTTTTAAAAAAAACTTAGCTAAGACCATCTACAATTGTCAGGAGATACCAGTCTTTTAGCATTCATGTTAGAAACGACACTGCTCTTTGATATTTTAAAACACCGATCAGGGGAAAAAGGGCACATCTGAAATGCATTCACAGGAGATCTGATTGCGTCCAAAAGACCAACCCTCACACAAAAGTGAGGAAACATAAAATAAATAAATACCTCAGTGATAAAATTAAAATCAAATTCTCTAAACCCCAATTGGTGGTAAGCAAGCCATCACATCAGATCCCTGTGTGACTGTTGCTGTTATTATTATTATTATCCACACTGCATGAACCCAACTGGAAATGAAAATAAAATTTAATAAAGGGGGTTTTCTTTAATAAAGGCTAATTTAAAGGAGAGGATAAAACCAAAGAGAGAGAAGAAAGAGGAATGGTACAGTGGCAAAACTTTTCTTGTAACCAAGACCAGACAGAAGTAAATGCATAAGTATAACTGAGAGCCAAAGAGAAACAGTCTGTTAGTAAACATCAGAGAAAATAGAAAAGATCTACATTTTTCAATGGAAGCTTCAAGGAGGAGTTTTTTTTCCCCAGCTTCCAAATGGTTCTGAAATTACTTTTAAGTGGAGTTTGTAATTCCAGAACAGTGATAGCCAGAAACCTGGTTGATTGTGTGGTTGCAGCCACCATCTTGATGACACCCACCCTCCCCCTGCCCCGTGGATGCCCATGGTACCCATCCAACAGCACACCCCAAGAGGGCCTTCTTCAGATTTCATTCCCCATGGCAAATCTAAGGAACCCTGCAGCGAACGGTCAGGGCTTATCAGTAGTAAAAAGGGAGAAGCTGGAACGTCTTAGTATCTAGCTGATCATTTTCTGGCAATACTTCCCAGCTTCTTTATACATTGATTTATTAACCATGCTTGTATATAATCTTGGTAGACTCTGAGTGCTGTGTAGCAAAACTCAGAAGAGAAACAAAATCTAACAATCCATGAAAAGCTCAATAGCTGCCTACAATCATACCAAGGGCCATGGGTCCATGGAAAGAGCCATCTTTAGATGGCTTTTTGGGAAGTTCCTTTGGGAAGGAGAGCAATATTAGGGTCAGACTCACCTTCAGGAGAAGTGATTTCCAGAGAGTGGGGGCTACCACCAAGAAGTCCTGATGCCTGGTGCATACCCTGTATCTCAAATGAGGAAGGGACTTTCCATGAGACCTCTCCAGATGTTTGGACTGGATAGGCAAAGTCATTGTCAAGGTAGTCCTTGATGTATCCAGTGCCATGTTGTATAGAGCTATATAGGCAATGACCAGCATTTTGAATTGAGTCTGGGAGATACCAGCAGCCAATGCATGATCTCAGGATGGGAGTAATTCTGCTGCAGGTTTCCATAACCGATGGCATGGCTGAACCAGTTGGAGCTTTGTCTTCAAGGCATTGCAAATACAAGGCATTGCAGCTATCCAGCTGTGTGGTGATCATGGCATGAATTAACATTACAAGGGCTTCCTGGTCCAGATGGGGCTATAACTGGCAGGTGAGTTATAGCTGAAGGCCCTCCTCTGCATGGGTTTCCCCTATTGTTCTATCAACAGCTGTGAGTCAAGGAGGAGCCATGTATAATGGACCAGCTCCTTTGTGGAAGGAGGGCCCCCATCTACAATAACCATCAGGGTTGATGTCTCTGGAAATCCTAGATGTTCATATACAAACAGCAGCTGTATCTTGGTAGGATTTGAGATGAGCTTGTTTCTCCCCATTAAAGCTTCAGTAAAATGAACCTTCTGTTTTTTCAGAACCTCCTCCAGATTTTGGATGACACACAAGTTAGCCCAGCAAGGGGGAGATTCCAGAGGGATTATGTTGTCCTGAAGAGTTTTAACCACCTTTAGCAAATCAATTTTAGATGCATCCGCTGACTTTCAACCAACTTTCAACTGGGATATTGTGTCCTCAGCCACATCCGTCCCAGAGCTTAGAGTATTAATAATGCCTTTAATCTCCAGGACAGCAGCCGTGCCATTTTTCTCAACAGCTGGCAAAATGATTACTTTAGGAAAGGAAGACGGTGGCAGAACGTTCTTGGGTGCCAAGTCATCCAAGCAGATCATGAACCTGTTCTTTCTGGTGATCCAACTTCAGTGACCACTTCTTTCTGGTTCTGATAATCATAATTATTACAGCAAATAATTATCAGCAGAAGAAATGTGGGGAGATGCCCAATAATCCTTTGATGATTTTATTTATTTATTTATTTAGATTTCAAATTTATTTTTTCAAATGTGTGATTTATTTAGATTTCAAATTTATCATCTCACTGCAGAGCGACTTACAACACCATCTTGAACAGGAACCTCTTCGATATCCTTTTTGAAATGTGGTGACCAAAACAATACGCAGCATTCCACGTGCGACGATACCACAGATTTATGTAATTTGTATAATATGACTTAATTGGCATTTGTCATTTTAAGATCCATTGACTAGTTTGGGAAAATCATCTTGGAGTACTTAGCAATCTCTTTTTAATTTCACGATCTGGACCAACTCATTAGCCACTTCATCGCTCAAGACAGTCTCTTAAAATTTTAAATTCTTGCAATCTTAGATATCGTTCAATGCTTATATATCCATACATGAGCTGAGTCATCCATATATGAGCGTTATATTTAGGAAAAACCTGATTGCGTTTTTAATAAAAAGAGGATGTAGGTGTATACTTTGCTGAAACTAATTCTTATCTGCTGGAGCGAGTTCACAAACAGCCAATAGTTTCTGTAGTTCTGAATTGTAAGGAATTGCTTCAACAAAGTGACAAACTGTTACACAGTAAATCTGAATCTTCAAGGTGAGTTTAACTTGTAATAAATTGAATTTCCACAAAGGAACATTTCTAGATTTAAATGCCACCATTTAGGTTCTGAACTTGAAAAGTTTATGCTTGATCCCTGAAAAACCTATTCATCTGAGACTTCCTCAAGGTGTTTTCCCCAGCCACAAAGACTAGAGGTGTCTTTAAAAGAAGGACGAGAAAAATAAAGTTCTTGATTCCAAGCCCAGTTCCAGAATCGGCGCTTACACAACGTAGAAAAACACACACACAGCTCTGGCTGCAATCATACCCCCATTGCTTCAAGAGTCATTATTCATCTGAATATAACACAGAAAGCCCTCTTAATTTCCTCAGCCCCCATGAACAATCTCCTTCTGCTATAGGAAGTACTCACATGAGAATCCAGTACCACGTCCGTGTTAAATCCTCAAAGATCTTCATGCTAATATCCTTCACACCCAGAGAACTTATAAGTTGTCTACAAAGACAAGAAACCAAACCGAAGATGTTATAGAAGGGAATCCATACAGACAGGCAGTTTAATATTCCAAGGAAAAAGTACGCCAGCACAGTTTGCTCGGTCTACATCGCCAGTCTCTACTCTGCCTCAGTAGTTATGGCATTGCCCTAACCATTGAACGCTGGACAAGTGAAGGCACAGTGATCCCCAATTTATAAATCAGTATAAATTCCAGCAGTATTTTCATCCTGTGTAAGATACACAGAGTTTGGTGTGGGATTTTTTGTTGCTGTTGTTCTGTTGTGCATGGCCAACTCAAAGGTGGTTTGAGGTGGAGTCGAACCATACACTATAAATTGTATTTGTATCCTTGGAGATCAGAGCGTTCTAAAAAATCCAATCCAATCCATCAATTAATTCTGGGAAAGCCAGCAGGTTTCTTGGATCACATACATCCCCAGAAAGAATAAAGCAACCAAGCTAAGGAAGACTTCACTCTGATGGTGACAACTCTATGATCAAAGGTAAAGAAAGGAGAAATCTGATCACGGATCTCTGCCTTTTTTCAGTCTTGAGAATGAGATCTGGGAAGAGAGAGAAATTGCCCCTCTAAGACATTTGCCTGGAGAAAGGCCCTCATGGAGAATATGAGTTAAAAAAACTTACTGTGTGCCATTTGTGATATAGCTCAGGGTTTCATTTTGTGTCATGCCACTCACATTAAAGTTTCCAACTTGAGAGGTGTTGAAAGAAGGTAAGCAACGATTAATAACTGTAAAAAAAAGGGGGGTATAAATTAGGAGTGATTCTGAAGAATTGGCATGAACTGCTCCTCTCTGCAAAGTCCCAGCCTCAGGGTCAATTACAAATGATTAAAAGTCAGTTTGAAGCAAATGCAGACGTTTCCCCATCCTGAGCACCAAAGAACTCTCTCTTGGTCTACCTTCCAATTTCCTATTTTTTTCAGACACTGGACATGTTTTGGCATGAAAACAATTTGGACAATCCCTCCTTCTGCACCATGAAGCCACTAGGCCAGTGTTTCTCAACCTCAGCAATTTTAAGACGTGTGGACTTGCAAGTTGCAGTCATGTGATATCTCACTTAACAACTACAGTGATTCGCTTAACAACAGAAACAGAAGTGACGTAAGTCTGGCACAGTCATGTGATTTTTCACTTAGTGACCGTGGCGCTTAGTGATGGAGTTCCCAGTCCCAATTGGGATCGGTGAGCGAGGACTACCTGTAATCAGGTGCTGAGCCATAATAACCAGAATCTTGAACCGTAGCCAGAATCCAACTGGTAAAGCTTGCACAGCACACACGTGCCAGGGCTGTACCATGGTGTACCTGAACTATTTACGCTGCTGCAGTCTGGACCAGCTGTAGCTTCCAACTGGCCTTCAAGGGCAGCCCCGTGCAGAGTGTATTGCAGTGATCGAGGCAAGAGGTGATTAGGAATCAGCAACCATAAGCCTAACCATAAGCCAACCCAGGACATTTAGAATTCTTTAATCCTGATGTGTGTCTTTTGCATCTGGCTGTGGGATCTGGCATTCTAGCAAAGCTTGAAAACCTAAAGATCTAAGGTCCTTTTGCTTTCTCTCATTTCAGCAAGGTAAACGCGATCTCAAGGCACCGGACTCCTTTCTTCTTCGCAGGAATCAACACTTACGTGGCATGGTTGGGATGGTGAATTCGGGACAAAGTTGCTGGTTGAGAATTTCTGACACCGTCTGGGAAAACAGCGAGAGGTTCATGGCATTCAGAAAATGGAATCACGCCTACTAGGGGATTCTTGGGATTAAGTGCCAGGAATATTGCAATGAGATGGGAGGCATTAAGGAAAAAGGAGGTTTTGCCATACTCAGGACAACTCCAAGATTGTGGAGTCCTTGGGGTTCCCTGAGCTTGGTTCTTTTCTTGCAAATGTTTCATGACCCGGCTAGGTAAGGGTAATGAAACGTTTGCAAGAAAAGAACCAAGCTCAGAGAACCCCATGGACTCCACAATTCAACCCTGAGCTACACATATTCCAAGATTTGCAGAAATATTTTTAAAAAAACCTTAAAGCAACAACCAAGAAAATGCTGAGAGTTTGGGGAAGGGGTGAGGCAGGAGAGCTGGAACAAGGGCACCCCATTAGTATCCAAGGAAGCTTGAAGCACCATCTTTTGCAGGATTACAGGAAGGCCCAGGATAAGGTTAGGCCATCAAAAGGCAACGTACCAAGTTTGTCGTCTTGAGATCAATGCTGGGTTGGCACAATGTCTGATTCCAGACGACAGAAGGTTTCATAGTATGTAAGGGACTTGGGGGAATCAAGGCAGAGGGAGGCACCACCCAGAATTTGTCAGTACAACTGGAGACACAAATCTGAAAATGAAGGAGCACAGGGAATCAATTTGGAGAGGATCTGCAATGGTTTGGCTTGCACGTAGAATGAGACAGATATTATTTGCTAGATCAGGATTTCTCAACCTTGGCAACTTTCAGATGGGTGGACTTCAACTCCCA